ACACTAGATACTCCGAGATATAGATATAATTTCTCTTCTGGATCCGGGGCTGACAGGACTGGTGGATTCTGCATATATTCCTTCAAATGGGTTAATGCTTGTCGTTGTTCATCCCCCCAGACCTGTCTTCCATGACTCCGGATCGTGTCAAAGAACGACTTGCAGCGGTCTGACAACTTAGAAATGAATCGACTTAATGCAGCTATTCGTCCTGTGAGGGCTTGCACTTCTTTGATCGTCTTTGGCTCAGCATTCTTAATCAAAGCCTCTGCTTGAGCAGGGCTAGCTTCGATGCCTCTGCGATTGACCACGTGTCCCAAAAATTAACAGGAACTCACACCGAACGAGCACTTGGTTGGATTGAGCCTCATCCCATATCGCCTCAGCACATCAAATACATCTTGCAGATGTTTCAGATGATCATTCTTCTTCCTACTCTTTACCACCATATCATCAATATAGGCTTCCACAATCTTTCCTATTTGATCCTTGAAAATTTTGCTAACAAGCCTTTGATAAGTTACTCCCGCGTTTTTCAGTCTGAAAGGCATAACTTTGTAACAGTATGTCCCTCGCTCAGTAACAAAAGAAGTTTTTTCTTCATCTGCCGGGTCCATAGGGATCTGATTATAACCTGAATAAGCGTCCAGAAAGGTTAAACGCTCATACTCGATGGTGGCATCCACCATTTGATCAATCTTAGGCAGCGGGAAGCTATCCTTCGGACAGGCTTTGTTCAAATTGGTGAAATCAATGCATACTCGCCATTTCCCATTCTTCTTCTGCACGACAACGACGTTGGACAACCAATCAGGATAGTGCACTTCTCTGATGAATCCCGCATCGAGCAGCCTATCAACCTCCTCGGCTATGATCTGGTTACGTTCTGGAGCAAACCTTCGTTGCTTCTGCTTTACTGGTTTGAAATTGGGATTGACATTCAAGGAATGACAGGATACGGAGGGATTAATTCCAGGCATGTCTAGGTGACTCCATGCAAATACATCGGCATTGTGAGACAAGAAGTCAATTAGCTCCTGCTGCTCTTCCCTGGTCAGTCTTACTCCTACTCTGGTAGTTTGCTCTGGCTTGGACTGATCGATCTGCACATCCAGAATGGCCTCTTCGGTCAAGTCAACTGGCTCCTCCACCCTATTCTGCTTGGGTGGAGGTTCCTGTAATTGCTATCTTGGGCTTGCCGAACGGATGGGCGCCTTCCCTTTCCCAGCATATTTTAGTGTGACGGAATAACACTCTTTGACTGCAACCTGATCCCCATGAATGTCTATCACCTTATTTCCATCGGGTCCGAGGCACCTCATGACCTGATGCAAAGTTGAGGGCACACCTTGGACTCTGTGAATCCATCCTCTTCCCATCAGGAGATTGTACGAGGGGTGAATCTCCACAACCACAAAAGTTTCCATAAGAGCTCGTTCTGCAACTTGAACTTCTACTTCCACCATACCGATGGGCTCCACCCTCTTACCATCAAATCCTAACAGGGGATTTCCAGTGGGCTTGAGCCTCTCTGGCTTAATCTCGAGCCGATCAAATGTGTCCCTTGGCATGACATTCGCACTACTTCCAGGATCGATCAGAATTCTGTGCACCAGGCAGTTCGCCACTATCAAGCTGACTACCAACGGATCTTCATGGGGGATTTGAACACGCAGCAGGTCTGTCCTGTCGAACTTTATCTGTATCGATGTGATCTGTTGGTGCAGAGTATTCACACTGCTGACCCTTTTCTTCATCTGCGCCTGCCGTAGGCGCGTTCGGAGTAGCTCATCTAAGTTTTTGCTAGGCTCGGGTCGACCGTGAATAGCATTGATTATACGAACTAGCTGTGAATTGTGGGAGCTTTGCTTCTGACTTCTTTTTACTTGCTCCATCGGTTGATTCTGCTCTATCGCCGAGCCTTGGACATAACTCGCGAGTTTCCCTCTAGCTATCAACATCTCCACTTGCCTTCTCAAATTCCTGCATTCGTTAGTCTGATGACCGAAATTGGAATGGAAAGCACAATGTTTAGTCTGATCCCTCTGTTCGAGGGGTTGCCTAATTGGCAGTGGTGGATGAAACTTATCTTTGTTCTCCTGATATAGCCTCACCAGAGTGACCTTCAACGGAGTGATTAGCCCTTCCTCCCTGGACCTCTTTTCTGCCTTCCAGGAGGTCTAACGTTGCGGCTGAGCCTGCTTCTGCCTGATCTTTGCCTTGGACTTTTCCTCAGTCGACACGACCGACGTTGTCTGAGCATTGGCTGCCTCCTCTTCTTCCAAGCGCACAAAGCCATCGGCTCTTTCATTGAGTTCATCCATAGTCGTCGGCGTGTTCACTACCAGACTTGTATGGAACAGAGTGCCACGTGTCATGGCCAACTTGAAGGCTTGAACCGCTGTAGAAGGGTGGCATTCAATCACCATACTCTTAGTGAGGTTAAACCTGGTGAGAAAAGCCTGGAGACGTTCATCTTTGTGCTGTTTCATTGTGAATAGGCTCGAGATGTCCTTCGGCGGACGCTTGTTCCCATAGTACTGGCTTATGAACCAATCGCACAGGTTCCGGAAGCTATCAATCGAGCCCCTAGGCAAGTTCTTGAACCAGCTAAGCGCCGGTCCGGCTAGACTTGTAGGGAGTCGTTCTCGGTATTCAGAGCCATCTTCAACTGGATATGGTACACATGATCGATCGGATCGGTTGTTCCGTCAAACAGAATAAAGACTGGCATGGCAAACTTCCTTGGATGCGGAGCATTCAGGATCTCATCAGTAAATGGTGAATCAACTGTCTGAGCCGCGGATCGGAGTGCTTCATTCTCTCTCTGGAGCCCAGCGGTAGCTCTATGAGCTACAGATCTGCTCTCCGAACCGCGATGAGTGAGTGTAGCCATGGAGGGCCGGTAAGACGGATCGAATGACCGTTCCTCAATGAGCTCTCTTTGCCAAGGTGATACAACTCGGCGGCGATCAACCTTTATCACTTCCTCTCAGTTGAACCTTTCCTGATGCGGATCGAAGGACATGGCTTCGTTCTGTCTGATCTGCTCATGTCGCGGATCAATGTGAGTCGATCCTTCGTGATCCTCAACTCGACGAACATTTAGCGGCACATCGTCCATCCTCCTTTCATCACGGTGGAGAGCTGACTGATTGTTCTCGTCCTGCTCGCCTTGATGTGCGATATTAGGTTGAATACCTCCTTCACCGGCCGGAAGTGGACGTGGAACCGCCGGCATTTGCTAATGCTGCATTCCAGCTTTCAATTCTGCATTCTTTCTTTTGAGAGCTTCGATCAAGTTCATCAACTCCTCAAGCTTCATTTGCTGGACAGCCTCCATCGGATTGGAGCTTTCACCTATCATTATTCCTGAACGGAGTAAAGGCATTAATCTCAAGTTCTTGAGTAGATCTGAGCTTCGTGAGCGCGAATTTTTCAGATCTGGACTCGAATTCTCCGAGTTATGCTTACGGTTGACGAGATCTGAATTCTAAATCCGTCAGATCCGGCCGCAATCGAACAACTCGTTATTGCGTAGATCTGAAGCCACTTCCATCAAAGCAACAGAACTAAAATTCCTCCAGAATAGGTCACAATCTCTCAGATCTGGATCCAACTCCCAAAGATCGAGTTTCGTCTTCACGAATTGGTTTGAATCCACGCGATATTAATCAATGATCAATCAATCTTCAACGATTCCCACAGACGGCGCCAATTGAAGATGCAAGGAATTCATTTCCATTTTCTCTCTCTAGAATTCTTACACTTCAACAGAATAATCCTCTTCTCTATCCATTACTTCTCATATTTATAGATACTTACAAACACTAATGGACTGCTAGATCTAGGCCCGTTCCTCTGTGGGTTTTGGTCATCTTTGATGGGCTATTCGCGTTCGGCCCATATGGCAGTATTTCTCTATGGGCTGGACCCAGCTGCTCGAACCGGATGCCATGTTCGTGGGTCATATCCGGCCCATGTCACTTCTGGCCTCCTCATATACATATATAATACTACTTGGGAAAAAAAAAAGTTCCAAGAGCAAGACAAAGGGTAGTGAAAATAAAGGTTGTCATGTCAATGCCCCTAACTAATCACGTTGTATAGGGAGAGAAGATGGGGTAGGTAATTGTGTTGATTTTACGTGAAGAAAAATAGTTTTTAAATTATCATTAGATTTATTATCTTTAATAAATTATTTATGTAACAAATAAAAAAATAAAATTCTACACTTATTTGTATTTAGCATAAATAATTAATAAAAAATAATTCAGTTAGGTAATTTACTGCAAGTTTTCAGTGTGAGTATCATTATCTTATGTCAATATTAATTTACTTTCTTTTACTTATGTGTCAACAAGCTATTAGTCAGAACCAATAATAATTTCGAAACAATTTAATAATTTCTGGTTCAAATAGCATATAATAAACAAAGTGTCACAATTTGAATGGATAACTAATCTAGTAATCACATAACGTGAAGAGTAAAAAGTCTGCAATACATTTATCAAAAAATAATAATAATAATAATTTTTTAAAAAATTATTTAAATAAATAATAAAATTATGATTACATCATTATAATAATAATAATAATAATATGTATCTCCTACTCACATAAATAATAAAATATATTTAACTTTCAGACTAAGGACTATTTTGATATTTTTCTTTAAACCGTGAAATATGACTTGTTTGAAAATTGTGTGTGTGAAACGTGTATTAATAATGCATATAGATTATGTCACGTGATTAGTTTTTTTGTTTTTCTTCCTTCCTTGTTCCGACAGACCACAATGGAACATTTGTAGTCCCTAATGTCACATGACATATCATTTTCAAAATAAAGTAGGCAATAAATATTTCTCGGAGAATCAACAATAATGGTGACAGTAGGGGACACGACCGACACTATAGTTGGAGCAGATAAGGTTATTAACAAATAGTAGTAGTAGAGTAATGTGATGGGTTGGGTTAAGTGAGTTTGAGTTAGCTTACCAAACCTCCAACGAGCCTGAACAAGTGCAATCTGAGGGTTGTGGACGAGGAAAGGAAGGGCTCGCCGGAGATAGTCCGGTTCGGGCCTGAAATCAGCGTCGAAGATGGCAACGTATTCGCAGTGTTTGACATACTCATGCTTCAACCCTTCTTTCAGTGCACCAGCTTTGTAACCCACTCTGTTTTCTCTTATTTGGTACCTTATGTTAACTCCTTTGCTACCCCACCTCAAACATTCTTTCTCCACCAAATCCTACGATAAAAATAATAATTAGCCATATCAACACAACACCACTTCATAAATTGATTGTATTTCTGTCACCCAAATAAAATTGATATGTTGGGCTTGTTTGGTATGTATTTTATATTTTATATTTTTATTTTTGTTCGGTACCATAACAGCAAATAGTGAAAAAAAAAAACATTTGATAAGAAATATTTAATTTTGTTTAGTGAATAATAGTCAAAAATAAAAATATCAATTTGGTATTAAACTATCGATTATTATTTAAAACACCTTACAAAAAACAAAAACCCAAAAACAATAGTATTTCAATCAGGTCCTAATTATCATTATTGTTGAGTATATTGTCATTGAAATAGAGAACACGTACATAAATGTGGGAAAACTAGAGTTAAATGCCGTAAATCACACAAGCCTAGATCTAAAAATGATTAGATACAAGGGGACCTATTTGAGATAGCTCATTTTTGCAATATAGAATTGACCCTTACCCTCCATCGAAAAAAGATAAAAAAAATCGGATTTAAATGCCGTAAATCACACAAGCCTAGATCTAAAAATGATTAGATACAAGGGGACCTATTTGAGATAGCTCATCATAAAAAAAATTACATGTACTCATCAGAAAACTAAAATTTCATAAAAGAAAAAAGAAAGGAAAGAATTATTTTATTTGTTTTGGTAAGGACTGTTTGGATGAATAAATTTGATTTTTTATCGAGTACCTTGATGGCAGGGTCTGTAGAATCGTCGAGTACTTGAATGACGAGACGATCAGACGGCCATGAAAGCCCACATGCAGCTCCAATTGAGATCTTGTAAACCTGTCTCAAAACAGAACAGACTCCAAAACTTTAGTTTATGTATCACTATATATATATGAAGAAGGCCAAATTTCACATTTCAACCAAGAACACATATATATAATATATAAATAAATCACCTCTTTCTCATTGAACATTGGGATTTGAATAAGGACCATTGGAAAACCAGAGTTGCCGAATTCGATGTCTTCCCGAATGAAGTCCGATTTGTAACGGTTATGGGGCTTTTTGCAGAATATCTTGACGAGGATGATGACAACACCCATGTAGAGCCTCTCCATGAATAGCATGAGTGACATGGTCAGGCATACAAACACAGCAACCCTTAGCACTGGCACTATCAATGGTGCTTTTATTAGTTCCCAAATCAACCCTATTTGCCCTGCTGCTCCTGCTATTGCTATGTCACCCATTTTCTCTCTCTAACTTCAAACACATCAGACAATGTGGTAGACTGAAGCACTCTCTTTATCAAAGTAGAAGAGAGACAGGACACTGTTGTGTCATTGTGCAATAGAGGAGTTGTTGTGTGTGTGAGAGAGAGTATAGCCAAGTATAGAGAGAGAGATGGCTATTTTATAGTCATTTTTGGTCTTATTTGGTTTTTTTTTCTTTTTTCTTTTTTTTGTTACTGCTTTAATTTATTTTTTATTTTCAAGTATATATAGTATGTGTGATTTCACTTATTGGTTATATATAAAGGTTCATAAGCTTTCAACTGTTCCAACTACAAGCGTGTGCGTTGGGTCAATGGCCGGTCACAAATTCCGGCAATGGCTCTCAAAATAAAGGGTATATTCCGGGATTTGTCGGCAGGGGGGAAGGGAAGGCCTTATGGTTTATGCCATGTCATAACGTGGATGGCCTCAAAATGTGGTGTTATCTGATTCGGTGTCAATTATAAAGCATACTAAGTCAAAATCAAAAATTAGTTGAGAGCGAGAAAGCGCCTGTATATTATATATTTTATATTTATATAATTATTTTAGAGACTATCCTTATTTTTTATAAATAACTAATAACATTTTTAAATACCACAATTAGCCTTTCAGCTAGAGGTGGCAATTCGTATTCGCGTCTCATAATCGTGTCTTGTCAACCTAAGGGTATTCTACTGAAGAGGTCAACACTAACCTGACTCATTTAATAATTGTGTCAGGAACCCTCAATACTAACCCGACCTGTTTATTAAACGGGTTAGACGTTTTAACCTATTTAATGACTTATTTATGAATATAAACCTTGGTACAACCAAGTTTGAATTCACAATACCATAGCACTAATTACAATTAATAATCCCCAAAATTGAAAGACAAAGGTTTAATTACACATGTTTAGGGTTCATCCAAGCGCTAAGTGAAAAACTAACCACTTATGGAGAAAGTAGATGTCATCAAGGTAGCTTCACAATCCATCTCCAAACCTTGGCTTATCTTCTTCTTCTTCCTTGGTTGAAATCCTAGATAGAGTGTATCAATGTAGAGAGAGAATGTCCCAAAATATCCTAACCATAAGCTAATCCTTGCTAAATGTCCAACATCCTTTTCCAAAAGGGCTAAATCCCTTATATAGGTGGCTCTAGTGACCTTCAAATGGTCTGACCTCATGCACAAGGATCCCAAATGATTGCACCACAAGCTCCCCTGAATTGAGGCTTCAATTGTATTTTTCACAGATTTTGAGGCAAGTAAGATCGATCACAATAGTGGTTTGATCGATCACGGGTAGGTGGCAACTATTAATGTGGATAAGGACAAGGCTTGAAATATTTATGAAGATAAGAACAAAGTCTGTGATCGATCATAAAAGGGTTGGATCGATCACAAATGATGGGAGATATTTATTTGGATAAGGATAAAGGCATTTATTTGGATAAGAACAAGGCCTTCGATCCATCATGGAATCTGGCTGGATCGATCATGTGTGATCGATCGTGACTTGGTTCGATCGATCCAAGAGGAAATTTTGTAGCTTCAGCCTCTTTTTTGCACTATCTTCCCACTAAGACTTGGTTGACTTTCTCAAGGCTCTAAAACATATAAGTTAGCTCATTTCAACCTTATGCACCTGAAAAGGGGAAAAATATAAAAGAAGACTAAAGCGAAAAAATAAAGATAGACTAAGGCCCTAATATACTCAAGATTATGGTTGAAATGTTCATATTTCAACACTTAAGAATGACCTGAGCAGGAGTGCCATAATTCAAGAGAATTAGAATTGACATATGTAGATGCAACAGATATAGTAGGAGTATGTAGATGAAGAAATGAGAGTTTGAACAATCAACCAACCTTACGCCCGGTCCCAATAATCTGTCCAATCTGAGGATCCTGGACAACACAACCATTAGAAGAAAAGGTTATTTTTAAGTCTAACTCAATTGATTGACCAACTGATAAAAGATTAAGAGAATTTTGGTATAAGAAAGACATCAGGAACGAATAATTGGGAGTGAGAAACAATCTCTGTACGACTAATGGTCATGGTGGATCGATCAGTTGTATAAATGACACGTGAGTGAGGTGCAGGAGTTTGAGTGGTAAGAAAAGTAGAATCGAATGTCATGTAATTACAGCAAGCGGAATCAAAATACCAACATGTATTCTTACCTAGTGTGGTAGAAAGAGAAAAGGAATATGCACCTTATATTCTAGTCAAAACCTGATTGATAATTGCCTCAACATTAGTTGTAGAGAATGTAAATGAGAAAGATGAAAACTTGGTAGGAGTGCTAGACACTGGCACTAGAGTTGGAGCTAGAGCCCGTAACTGTAGAGGCACAATGTGAGAAGTAGCCATAATTAGAGTAGATGAAGTCAATCTAGCATGAGTGTGACATTCCTGAAAAGAATGCCCTCGAATTCGACAAAAAAATGCAATAAAGAGAGTGATCATGGCGGTTGTATCGTCCGTAATGATTGAGGATGTCAATTAAAAAGCCACTGTATGAGCAGTAAAGGATGGCGTAACGAAACCTCCTGTGGGAGTCTGCAAGCACGTCTTCTTGTTGTCAAGCTCATTGAGAATACTTGAATAAGAGGAATGATCTCATTTTGTGCCATTTAGATAACTCAAATGCAAAAATGGACCACAAATTTAGAATCAACGCAAAAAACTGAACTGGAAAGACAGGTTCAAAAAAACTTTCTACTGCTGCTGACATGGCAGAGAAAGGATCTGATGCTAACGGTATCAGTGTTGATGTGGCAGATGACGTGTCACCTTTGGCAAGTGACATGGCACAAAAAGGGGGCCTTTGTATGATGTGCAGCTGACCTAGATGATGATGTGGCAGCTGACGTGGTTTGATGGTGTGGCAGGATGATGTGGAAAACCTGCTGACAGAGCGTTAATGTGGCGGTCCGGATTTGATGCGGGCGCGTGACAGTGCGTGGGAGAGCGTGTTGGCACGTGGCAGCGCTTCTGAGCGAGTAGGCATGCGTTTAAGCGCGTGGTAGCGCGTTTCGGTGCGTGGCAGCACGTCTAAGCGAGTGGTGGCATGTGTCGAAGCAAACTAGATACCAGTGTCTGGCGGCGCGTGAGGGCGTGTGATATGTCATTTTGGGACAATTCCAACGGCTTATTAATGATTTTGGTCTGTACTTTCGGTTGATATGATCATAAACTCAAAAGGACCTCTGGAAGGCCTGCTTTTGTTGTAGTAGTGCTGAAACACCGTGTATAGAGGTTGCGGCACTAATGGTGGTATCCCCTAATGACTGGAAAAGTCGCAAAGAAAGAGTGGAAAAAATAAAATAAAATTGGAGAATATGTGTTTAAGAACCTTGCTCTGATACCATGTTAGAGGTACAGAGAGAGAATATGAAACTGGTAATGTATTAAGTTGAATCAATTACAATGTACATAAAGCATCTATATGTAGATGAGGAATGTGGTAGGTGAGTGATGAGTAAGTTATCTATATATGTCAAATGGGTAGGTGGAGGCGAGTACAGTAAACCCAAAACCCTAGTATTATATACAATATAAGCTAAAAAAATAATGTTATATTTTGATCAATATGTCATTTCCTCTTATTAAATTACTCATCAACTAAAACATATGAAGCGAACAGCCATTTTGTAAGGGCAGTTCAGTATTTTTTATTTATTTTGTGCAGTTCGTCCTAATAATAATAATATCAACAACAACAACATTAATTATAAGTTTGTTATCACAAATATGATTTCACAACCTATTGATTATTGAAGGATATAAAATGTACTTTATTGTTGATTCAAGTGCAATAACAATATTTTTCTTATAAATAAGCTTTACTTTTTGTTTTTTGTTGTTTTAGTTTCTTACTATCACATTTTTATCCCTTCTCTAGGTTTGCATACATAACATGCAAAATCGATCTTTCAGCTCTTGGGACACAGCCAAAAATTGGTTTCAGGAAGGGCATAATAACATGTGAAAAAATAAAAAAATAAAAAAAAGTGTAAGAAGGAAAAGAAAGAAAATTAGAAAGTTTTTTTTTGAATAAAATCATTTTAGGGGGGCATTTTATAAAATTTAGTAAACTTTACATATAAAGGGGATAATTTTTTTTTTTTTTTTTTTTTTTTTTAATTTCCTAACGGATACTCGCACAACCCCTCAAAGAATTGTTTGCACTCCAGAAAATTCGAATCTTAAACTTTATTTACCTCTTTTTAGGTCTCCTCCTTTATCCTCCTATTTATATGAATGTTAGAACACCCTACAAAAATGTTTCACGGATTCGAAGTTAGAATACAGCCTCTCCTTACCGCAATGATGGTAGCTGTGCCAATAAAATAAAAAAATAACAGTACAAACCGTGTTTCCTGTTGAGGTACTGAACTTCTCAGTTGTCGTTCTCTTTTTTCTTTAATTCTTTGTATGACTAAAATTTTGGAAATTAAACCTCATTCAAATTAAAATCTCAAGTTCTCTTGTCAGAATCCTCCTTCAAAATAAAACTAAAAAATATAAAACTAAGCCTCCGTATTTCCAATCATTGTAACCAACATTTCTGTTTTAAACCAAGTAGACAATCCTCTCGAACTCGTGAAGTTCATGGCATATGGTGTTTAATACCCAATAACTCTTTACTAATGAAAATGTGTGCATACAGCTCCAAAATTAAGAAGCAATACAATACAATACAATACAATACAATGTCATAAGCTATAAGTTTAATATTACATGTTGAACTAACCCCAGATTTTCAGTCTCTAAAAAGAATACAGACATCTTTACAACCCCAGGGTTTCCAGTCTCTAAAAGGATACAAGAATCTTCATGGTCTGAACTGCTCGATCTTGAGCGTCAGCCATCCTACGAGTAAACATTTATTGACTCGATTATGGACCCTCCGAATTAGATGAGATGAAGCTCTCTTTCGTACAATTGGCAAGGTATCAGCACAGGTAAGCATGACAATTGTACAGAATTCTGACCGGCCTCCAATCTGTCCATATGATTGCTTCCACAAAGAGCAAAGAATGTCAGCTAACAAGAGCTTCAGACCCCATCAGTTTAACAAGGAAGGCAACCTGAAGGGCAACTCTTTTCAAAGCACTGGCAGCAAAAAGGTGAAACCCATCAAATGTCCCAAGACCAGTGATACAAAATTAGGTTATTATTACTCCCTTGGTTAATCTAAGTGAAAAGCATCTTAAGCTCCTCGATCCGTGCAGTTCGGACTTCTTGGTCAGTCAAGGCACCAGAGATCATCCGTTGCTTCCGGGCTTGCACTGCTTCCATTTTTTCCTCGACTGTTCCCTGCCATCCAAGATCATTTAGAAAGGTATATGAAGCCCCTTTCGGTATGTATGTTTGACTTGATCTTTGGGGGACACTTCGTGCAACCCCTTTAAGTGGGTCCAACGCTGGGTGAGGGCTTGAAAAAGTAAATGTAATGAAATTGAACAAGTCTTTGGAAATCTGATGCTAAAGCATATTTAAGTTCTCCATGAAATCCTCAGTATCCAGTTTAGTCACAAAGTACTTGTCTAGAGTATTTTCCTTTCTCGTGCCATTACATCAATGAATGAAGAAAGTAAAATGTTCCAGTTAGATGATTTTGCAAGTGAAAGAAGGAAAGAAAGGAAAGAAAAGAAAAGAAAATATACCTTCACAATGAACCGTTTGATCATTACTTTTTTAGTTTGTCCAATGCGGTGAATGCGCATGACAGCCTGTTCCTCTACAGCTGGATTCCACCATGGATCCTGCAAGAAAGTTTGAAATCAGCATATAGACGTTAACCATCAAATTAAATAAACAAAAACATGCAGACAGAGGGAAAACCAGAGAATCAAACTACACAACACATTGGGACATAAAAAGTAACAACATGAAAAGAAAGAAAGAAAGAAAGAAAAAAACACGACACCGAGAATAAGAGATGAAAGAAATGGGAGGAGAAAGAGGGGGGAAATAGGAGAGAAACAGAATAGATGGTGGAAAGGAGACCCTGAAATTTTATTAATTCCCCAAAAATTTAATAATTCTTCATATTACACACAAGTCCTTGTATAGGCAAACCCATAGACAATTAATTACCCCAAAACCTGATCATACAAAGAACTACAGCTTGAGACTCTGATAGAGAGTCGTGCAAGGTCCTCTGATCGAAACCTAAGGCAGGATGAATAGGTCTTGTAGAACTAATTATTTGTTTTAACTAATTTTTAGGTTAAATTATGCTGACACCCCCTCTGGTTTGCCTCTGACACTCAAATAGAACTTGGTCATCGACGACCCCCTGTCGGGTTTGCTCGATTTGACAGACACACCTGAGAGCTCTGACACATGATAAAATGACCAGAATGCCCTTTAAGTTGCAGTTTGACTCATTGAAATAAAGAAATTATAAATTTAACCTTTCTAACTAATTTTAATGGACCAGAATAACCTCATCATCTCTAAAATTCCACCACAAAATACTCATTTTCTCTCTACATATGCATATAAATCAATCTCCATCTCTGGAAATCTAATCCAATTTATATTTTTGCATTGATTGATGGAAAGCTGCAACATAAACAATTCAAAATGCATCCAAGCACAAAGTGATTTCCTAATGTAATCATTCCACCCCTCCTGTGCTTGGAGAGTGTTGAGGAAGCCCATGTGCATCATCGTCCTCCCCCCTCCGCTCACCAACACCTGATAGAAATGGCAACTTATCCTACACCTCCTCCCACAAGCTTATCCTACACACCACAGACCACAACCACCTCTCTGCACTCCAGACACGGACCCATCTTTTCCCAAATTACCCATCTCGTCCTCATGCCTCCAGGAACACCCATGGAATCTTGGAATTCACCCCTCATTTTTTTAAAAATTTCTGCAAAAATACTGAAAACCCATTTGAATGGTTTGTTTAACTCACTAAAAAGACTAGATATAGAGCACCACCCACCATAGCCACCTCTCTGCACTCCAGACAGTCCCATGTTATTCCAAATTACCCATCTAGTCCTCACGCCACCAAGAACAAGAACCTGCCCTTCTCTCTATTGATACATCTTTCTCTCTATATATATATACGTCTATATATATATATATATATATCGATTTAGAAAGATAGCGGGTTTTGAGGTGTGATTTGGTCATTTCACACTTCTGATAATTGCCATAAGAAATAAAATTAAATAATAAAGGGAAATGTAGGCATTTCATTCTTTTTTAAGCACTGTTTGGATCAAAAACTGCCAGGGGGTGTCATTGTCAAAATATGAGCAAGGTTCCATCTGGGTGTCAATTAGGTAATTTAACCCAATTTGTAAAATTAAACCTGAATTAATAGAAATTTAACTTAAGAATCTAACATATGGTATAACTCATATGCAATCCACATAACACAGATTTACGTGGTTCGACAAAGCCTACGCCCATGGTGAAGATCCGAAGAAAGATTTCACTACTCGAAAACAAGAGATTACAAGTTTCAATCCCCAGACCCTAGCTCTCACACTCTCTTTCATGCGATATTCAGTGTTCTCTCGTTTTCCCACTCCAAACCCTAAACGCCCTTATATACCGGGCTATAAGATAATACAAATCACGGATCACAACCCACAAGCAAAGAAAAAAAACAGGTCACAACATCACAATTTCGAAAGATGCGAGTTTAAATCATTTTAGGGAATCAAAATAAGATTAAAACTTGAAAATTAAAAAACCCTAGATATATAATCCATGAACCCTACTTGGTGAGTGCATTAGTGTGTCAAATTATCTTCATATCCGGACGATGATTACATAATTACTTTTGGTTGTACCATAACTTTCATCTTCAACCCTTGGGAGGTAACTAACACTTAAAAGAACACGGTGCCCACTTTCTCAAAGCAACTTGAAGACGATGACAGGTGAATGACAATGATAACAAGGAGATCACTAATAATAGCGACAGTGGTGATTGGTGAAGGCTGATGACAATATTTTTGGGATTATGTGCCCTTCAAGCCAATGAATGGAATGTAATTGACATTATTATTGACGGAATTTTGGTCTTAATTAAATGCTCTACATATATGGTGAATATCCTGTATTGGTTAGTCCATAAGATGTATCGTGATTATCACTGTAATGTTTTCAAATTTTACCATCTTCCAATTTCTGGAATTTTCTAATTTTTTGAGGGTATTTCCGTCTTTCCTTGTTTTGAGTGCCGGACACCGTGGGGTATGCCAGGTGTGTCCGAGAGTTGATTGGGACATTTCTTTGAGTTCAGGACTCCTAGAAATGCAATAGTTGTCATTTTTGCATTTTTCCATTTTTTGGGCCGGACGGTCCCGTATAGGACCCGCTACCGGAATTGTTGCATATGGGGATTTTAGTTGGGTCCATATGCATCTCATATATTTTATTTAATGTATTTATGTGGGTTTTATATGGTTGTATGCATGTACATAATTTTGTGGTGGAAAAATTAGAAGGAAAATAAATCAAAAGGTATTTTAAAGTGGTGGGACCCACCACTACCATTTTTAGTGATCAAAGAGACCACATTTGGTCTCTCATCTTCTCTCTGCCCGTAAGATCTCTCTCTTCCTCACTTACCTCTTCTTTTTCTTTTCTCTTTGTTTACAAACTTCAACCTTTGATTTCTTCCTCATTACTTAGAATTTTTAAGTGCCGTTTGCGACAATTCGAAGAGCTCGGTGAGATCTTCAAGTCTTGGTCCCACCACTACCATTTTTAGTGATCAAAGAGACCACCTTTGGTCTCTCATCTTCTCTCTACCCGTAAGATCTCTCTCTTCCTCACTTGCCTCTTCTTTTTCTTTTCTCTTTGTTTACAAACTTCAACCTTTGATTTCTTCCTCATTACTTAGAATTTTTAAGTGCCGTTTGCGACAATTCGAAGAGCTCGGTGAGATCTTCAAGTCTATAAAAACAATTTCAGCTTTTGAACATTCTAAGAATTCCGAAAATTTGGACCCATGTGAGGGTGTTCTACAAAATTGAGGTAGGGGTGTTTAATCCATAACTTCTTGGATTTTAGTGAATTATTCTCTGTGTTTTGCTGTCTAGCATGCTATAATTGTGATGAATTTCTTTAATATGATTCAATTGTTGTATATGAAAATTATAATTATGTGTATTGCTATTGTTGTGTGAGAAAAGCATGCCTAATGTGTTAAATTCCATGCCTTTGGTACTTATTAATTTGCTAGAAATTGCTATGTGAAAGTATGTTGAATTGTGTACTATAAAATCTCTGAATATGTGTATTAATTGATTTATATGAAAAGCATACCTAATGTGTTAAATTCCATACCTTTGGTGCTTATTAATTTGCTAGAAATTGTTATGTGAAAGTACGTTGAATTGTGTAATATAAAATATTTTATTGTCATTACATTGAAAAAGTATGTGATGTTCATGCATAGCATTGGGCATGAAAAATGGGCAAAGTGATTGGAAGTGAATGAAAAAGGGGTTTTGGGGTAAAGTTTTGATTAAAAATGGTTTTGTGAAAAAACCGGTCGCCGCGGAGTTACCAAAGGGCCGTATAGTTAATATAACCTAGTAAGAACTAGGGAAATCACCCTAGCGTGATTGAGCTATCTGGGCCCCAAATGACGCCGCGGAGGTACCAAGGGTCAGGGACAGTGGCCAATCCTTCTCTCGTGTCGTCGCGGAGTCACCAACGGACGGGTTATATTAACAGTTTAAAAAGTGATAGATGATTTTGAAAATGGGGAGCGACATAGCACTGCATTGAAGAGGTGTGTAATTTTGCTCACCCTATTAATTAACATTTTTCAGGACATGGGAAAGAAGTGGTGGATGACGTTCCACCACAGGCTTAGTATGGATTAGAAGATTATTTTGTTGTTTATTTTTTTTTGTATCTAGGTCTCACTATTTTTGTAAAACTTAGCATATTGTATTCTGTACGGAGACTTAGGAACTCTTGTTATTGTAATTTTGCTTCATGGACTGTAAGTTGATGTAATTGGAATAAAATTCTAGTATGTGAGCATGGGTCTTTGTAGAAGACAGGTACTCCTTCGTTCTGGATGAATGGGAAGATGATGATGGGCTATTTTGTGTGTTGGGACAGGTTAGATTAGTTTTGAAGGTCCAAGAGAGGCCATTGTTTTTTTTATGCATTTTAGCAGGTTATTTTAGACCCCTTTTTAGCAGAGGTCATGCCGATTTTTTTTTTTTTAATTGGTGTCATTTTAGGGTCGTTACAAAGTTGGTATCAGAGCAATGGTTTGAATACCATTAGGACGACGGGTAGAGGCCTACTTGGGATTGCATAGGGAAGTTGAATTGCATGATTATGTGCTACATGTTAAAGTGTTTAAATGTTTGAGCAGCATGCTTACTTGTTTACTTGCTTACATGATCATATGCTTATATGTTTACAGTTTTGAAGGCATGCTGCTGAGCGCTGAAAAGTGCGCATTTAAACCCCTTAAGCTTGGGTATTCTAGGACCTTATCCTATCTTATTTTCCCATTTTAGTCTAATTTCATATTATTTCCCTTTTCAGGCTCTTATCCACAAAATAAGTCAATTCAGCTGAATTAGAACATAAAAGATGCAATCTCAAGCTTAGTGGAAGAAAGGAGCAAAGTGGAAGCAAAGTGGTGGAAAACAAAAATCTTCGATCGATCAGACCAAGCTCAGATCGATCTCACAGTGATCGTTCCAACCATGTCAAGATGGATCGAGCCTCTTGTCCTTATCCTCAGGAAATT